TGCAAACTGTGGACGCCTATTTCTGATTGCATGCGGCATCTCAAGTGGATTTCTAGTACATTCTGTCCATAACGCCGAATTTCCGTGACGGTTTGCATATTAGTCTGCCAAGCTCCCTGACTGCCAGACCCACAAAGTTGTACTCGTGCACATGCGGCACAGCGATAAGGGAATCTGTAGCGTCAAGCTAGGTTGCCATGCCAAATGAGAATCCAAACTTTAAAGGCTTGCGCAGTAAGGCTGGTGTATATGAGCTATGAAGGATATAGCAACGCCTTGAAAGTGGCACGGATACGGTTGCAGCGATGGAGTGAAATCACTGAAGCAAGCAGATAAGGGAGGTATTCTACGGTGCAAGAGGGGATTCTGATAGAAACCAAAGAGAGATGGTTGAGAAATAAACCGCAGCCTTGGATCAACACTCTTGGCACAGTTAAAAGGATGAGAAAGCCAGCGGTGAGTGTGAATAGATTTCACATAGTTTTAGCTAAACAAGTAAGAAATTGTGATATTTAAAGGCGTGATACGAGGATATAGGATTGTTGACTAGCCCAGGGCAGAAGAAGAGATACCACAATTGTTTAGCAGACAATTGGTCAAAGGATCGGCTTCACTTGTTCCTTTGATGAGTTTTAGCATGTTGCTGAGACTGGCAAGGCTCACTGACGATGTCGGCGAAACGTCTGGAAATCTAGCAAGTTCACGGTCCGACTCTGTAAATTATCAAAATACTATGGATCCGGACAGGGTTCGTTCCTCTTGGTCTTACTGACAATATGACCAAGTGGGAAAATAAGATCAAACAACTTCTATATTTATCTGACTTATAAGCTTATATCACATTATCTCAATCATACTTGCATACGGACTTACGCGGTCCCCGTCAGGGATTTAAGCCTTGATGACCAGAGCCTGACAGTACCTTTTTTTGTTCACTCTGATTTACGATCGGTATTGCCTATTCACGTTAACACACACACGCACACACACCGTCGATAAAAAGAAGCATGACCAATACGAAAGATAATTATGGTTTGGGGGACTTTCATTTCGTATGAAAATGCATGAAGAGGAGCTTAGTAGGTCGATCTCACCAGAAGTGGACGATTGAATCCTGTTTGTCTTTTATACGACCTTTAGGTTGACGCAGTCCTGCATATGATGGACGAAAGCTCAACCCATTTTCAGCTGAAACGAGCGAGGAGGTTTCGTGGACTGCGTCAACCCAAACGTCGTATAAAGGCCAAACAGCTCCAGTATAACTGGATACAGCCGTCGTCTTTTGGTGAGATCATCCTACGAATTTC